ATGTAAAAAAAAAACAATATGAAATTAACCTAATAAATTAAAGCTCTCCATACTGAGAAACTAAAAAATTTTATTTTTAAGGAATTAAGACGTGCGATCATATGAGCTATTTAAAATTATTTCTTTTTTTTACAATTTTTTTGTTAGTATTTGCCATAAGGTTAAATTTGAAGATATAAGTCAAAGTACAAACCTATTAGTGTTAATATTATGTATTTTTGTTGATTTTTTATTTTGTGAATTTCTAGATCAGTGTTTTGAACTTTCTTGTTCAGTAGATTAAAGTCTTTATAAAATTCTTTAAACCATCTAGTGTTCTGATCATTCATAATTTTTTTCATTTCTAAAACATTCGCCTGTATTTTTTGATCCAATGAATTGATTTTTATGTCAATTTCATTTCGGATTTCTTTGACTGCTGATTCAAAATCATAATTGTCTGTAGATTCTTTAAGAAAAATGATGTTTGTGAATATTAAATTAATTCTTAGATTTTATTAACAATAAACAGATTAACAAACCTCTAATAATGTCATTTTCAACATGATACTCATTTATTTTCTAAAAATAATTTGTATGAGTAAAGTCAACTTGTATAAAAAGATTATAATTTATAGAATTATATACCATTGCCGATTTACTAATCTTCAAATTTTTTTTTGTTAGATCGAATTCTTCGTTTAATTCAATTAGTTCTTTTTTTTTATTGCCTATTTCAATATTTAGTTGAATTAGTTCTTTTGTCTTCTTATCTTTTTTATTATCTAATTGAATTAGTTCTTTTGTCTTCTTATCTTTTTTATTATCTAATTGAATTAGTTCTTTTATCTTAATATTAATTTTTTCATCCAAATTAATTTCTTTTTCATGATTCCTAACGTATCAGGAATTTAGTATTTTTGTTAATTTGAAAAATACAGAGAAATACCAAAATACCTTGCCTCTAAATCTTTTATATTATTTTCTAAAAATGTTATGTGATTTTGAAGTTTATTTTGGTTCGAGATAGGAATTTTTTTGTGATTTTCCGAACAAGTAATAAATTGTCTAACGTATCGGAAATTGTTATTTCGGTTAATTTCAAAAACTAAGAGTAAGCTAAATACCCTAAATACCTTGCTTCCAAATCTTTTATTTGGTTTTCTAAAAATGTTATATGACTTTGATAATTATTCTGTTCTATTCTAAGCCTAGAAATAGGTGTTTTTTCTTGATTTTCAAAACAATTAATGAATTGTTCTAAACTTTCAATTCGATATCTTATAAATTGGTCAAAAGTAACAATATTATCTTCGACAAAAATGCTTTTATCAATAGAAGCTTTAGAGTGATCAATTACTGAAACATCTTCAGGAAGAGTTTCTACTTCTTTAATAAATTCTTCTTCAACTTTGTCTATATCTAAATATGAGGAATCTTCTAAGACAGCTGCTATAGTTATTGCTAAGTAATAAAGAACCTTAAATATAAAATAAGGATCTTCTAATACTCTAAAATAAATTTTATTAATGTTAAATTTTAAATGTCTTCCGATTATAACACATAACCATTGCATCTCAATTTTTGTTAAAGGTTTATTCATGCATTTTCTGGTTTCAAAAACATTTTCTAATTTACTAATAAAAAATTGAATTAGCGTCAATGAAAATTATAATGCAATCTGTGTTAATTTTACATTTTTTCAGCAATTAGGTTTGCTTTTTCTGGGGTAAGGCCATCGACAACATTAAAAACTTCTTGAGCCTAGTTGCAAAAAAAACTTAATATATGGTTTAAATTTAAAATAT